TTAATGGTGGGGCTTCCCATGTAGAGCTTGCATATTACAAAAAAAATTTTTTTAATCAGGCAGATTTGTTGCCTGCCACCTGAAGCCACCTGAAGGTAAGTTCCAGCTCTGCTTTCCCAGTTTAGATGGGCTGTGACATCTCGTCTTTCTTACCTTCTGAGCAGCTGGTGTCCAATCTCCCTACATTCCGTACACGGATCAATTCCTTGCCGTTTCCTGTATATAAAGTGTTGTCAGCCAAAAATTAAGGCAACAGCTCACTGGGTGATACAGTAACCTTGAGAGTTAGTCCTCTTGCGTGCATCCAACCCCTACATCATCTGTAGTGGAAGAGATGCTGAGGCTGTAGTTTCACTAGGAAAAAAAAGAGCGTTTAACATTCACCAGGTAATCTCATCAGTTTTGAAGTTCTGCACAAATAACTCCGTCAGGATTTAAAGCATTAATCTATTCATCTATTAAAGATTTAATCTATTGGGATCAGCTGGATTGAAAAATGATCATCAATGCCCAATGTCCTGGGGGCCTGTTATGAAGATTTTAGCTCTGCTGTCACCTGCTGCAGGCAGGAGTTGGGATGTAGGCTCCACAGCTGTGGGCTGTGTCAGGAGTGGCCAGGGCTGAGAAAGCTGGAGTACAAAGCTAAACGTGTGTATGGAATTTTCAACAGCAGGAAAACAGGTTGCTACCTGCTTTTTCAGGCCCTTTCTTGTCCCACAACCAAGGTGCAGGCTCACCTGTGCCCAACTGCTGATCCTCCATCTGAGGGCAGCTCCCACGGCCCACGGTGAGGACACCTCCACCTCGGTCGCGTATCTTGACACTGGACAGGCTGCAGTGGAGCTCAATCAGCGCACAGCTGCAGGGGGTGGTCGATGGGAATGGGCTCACACATCCTTGCTTCCTGGCAGAAGTCCAATGGTGCTCCTTGTCATGTCCATCATGGAGCTGCATCACACCGTCTTCCATGAAAGCGCTAGTAACGAACCACCTTTTCAAACTGCAAACGTATACATGTAAAATAACAAAACACCTTTTTGAAACAATTACTGTGATGCCCACCACCACCTTCAAAGGGAGGTAGACCACAGCCAGCTGTTACGAACACACCTAAGGGCAGGAGAGCAACCAAAACAGCCTTTTTGTCCAGGAAAAGAGCTGTAGAGAAAGCTGAGGAGTTTCCACAGGATTCCATCGATGGCTCCGTCCGACAGAGCAGCTCTGGGATGCCCACCTTCTCTTCGCTCCTCATCAGGACTGTTTTACAGGTGATGCAGGAGGGAGCAGTCGTGAAAACTGGCTGCTTCACTGGATTATTTGTTAAACCATAGGAAGTTCGAAGAAGTGATTTTGCAGAAAACTATTTCAGCAGCTTCAGTAGGAAAATGCTGACGTATGCCCACATCCAATATTGGTATGTCAAGACCAGCAAAAGAGTAAGAAATGCAAATGATAAACTGAAATCTAGGAAAATAATATGCAAGCTCAGTTAGCACTGCTAATTCTGAAGTGGGTTGAATCGGTAATAGGCAGAACTATTGTTTGATGTGCTTCCACATTATTTTTCAAAAAAATAAAGTTTAACTCCAACAGTAAAGTGGTTTTAAGAGGTAAACCTACTGAAGTAATTCAAACCACAATTTCAAAATAAGTCATCCAGCTGCAGTTCCTCAGGTCTTTTAAAACGTACCAGAAGCTTTCAGATTTGTGGAAATGAGAGCACGCATGCTCTCATATCAGAGAAATGAAAACAGCTACACCATTTTAATTCTCGTACTATATGAAAATGAAAGCACCAGTTGTCAACCCAGACTAACCGCTTAGCCCAGTCTGCATTCTTTACCAGAATTCACGTCTATTAGCATCATTTTTAGGCAGCAGCAAATTCTCAGGTGAACATGGCGAAAGGGTATGGCATTTGAAAACTCAAGCACACTCAGAAATTAGGCTTCAATAGAAGCAATTGTAATAGCTAGCATCTTAAATCAAAAGCACTGTCTAGCTACCTCATGCTTAGGATGACAACTGTGCATTCAGAAGCTCTTCTTGAGTGTGGCAGCTGTTAATCAAACCTTTTTGTTTCAGTCAATATCCACCCATGGAAGTACTTTCAATCAGAAGTTATGGGGAATTAACAAAAAAAAAAAAAAAAAGAAAAAAAAAAAATTAAATGTGCTCATTTTAGGTGACAAATACCTTTTAAGCAGTGTTATTTAGAAAACGAACACCCTTCTTCAATAGCCATGGCCACTTAAGAGTCATGCAGGACCAAATCAACAGCCCCATAGACCTCTGTGCCTTCCAGCACTGCCTAAGCCATGCCAAAGATAATTTATGGTCTCTTCACAATCAACAAAAAGAATCCCCTGACCCTCTGCAAGCAATTTCGCATCTGCCTACAATACACAAGTTCTTACTTTTATGTACATTTTCAATTTTTTTTTTTTTTCATGGACACTGTAAAACAGAAACAGAGAAGTACAAAAAATGCTAGCTTAGGGACAGAGAGGATTCCACACGCAACATGCAGCAACGTGATACGACTCTGCATCCTTGTACCGCACAGATGTCATCTCCGTGAGAGCGCAGTGTGGTCAGTCACGAACCCTGACCCCCCGGCAGCCGGCATTATAACAGAGCTCACAGTCACGTGCAAAACAGTTTTACCCATGTGCATATCTGCAGGCTCCCCTGGATTACTTGGGTCTTCAACCAGATTATCAAGCCCATGAAGGTTCTCACGTGCTTAAGTATTTGTAGCACCAGGTACGAAGGCAGAGGAGATTGAGTCCTGGGCATTTTTTTGTCTGTTGGTTTTTAAACACCCAGCTGGAGCCTCCTTACCTCCTTCCTCCATGGCTCCCGGGTTTGAGTTAAAATAACAACTGCAAGTGTTTGCTGCAATACCAGGGACAATCAAGTGGGTGGAACCCATTTTAACCCTGGAAATTAAGGGTAGCAGATTTCCAGAGGAACTGGAGCTAACTACTCAATACAGATTTACAAACAATATGCAGTAAGGAGTGATAACTCTCAGGAGTGTGTTAAACAGGTCAGAAATAGGAGTGCTTCTACTTGTTTCCAAGAACACCAGGTTTACTACTCAGAACTTACCTTGCATGTTGTTGTACAAAGCTGCAATTATGGGGGAAAAAACCCACCTCAAATAAATGTATTTTTAAAATAGTATTCAGTTCTCTCCCTTTATTCACAGTGTTACTGCAATGTAAAAACATACTAAATAAGCCTCAGACATTAATTGTCAGTGTTAAAAATCTCCAGGTCAATTCAGTTGCCAATTTGACATGTGTCTAAATGTGTAAATGAGGGCTGAGGTTTTCCTCCTTTCAGAAAAAAAGGGAGTACAGGGGGGTGGTGGTGGGTGTTAATTTTTTTTTTTTTTAATTAATGTGATATCAGCTAAGAAATGTTTCCAATTTTAAACTTAAAACAAAGTGTAACTGTTTAAACTTGTCTCTCCTGCTTCAGCCCAGACTGTAACATGAAATTAAGTCACAGATTTTTAAAGACTCCACATATGCTTATTTAATCGACGAAGGACAGCCAGACTGCTCTTCCCCTTGGAAGAAGCAAAGCACCAGGTCCCCGCTCACAGGTGAGACATTTGCTAAAATCAAGCATCTCGCATTTTTGAAGTGTCATGCAGTTGAATACAACTGTATCATCGAAGTAACTTTTTGGAGAACTTCAATTCCCAATTTCAGCTTAATTGTTTTTAAAGTACCACAGTTATTAAGTAGTATAAGATACCATTTTTAACCTAACTTCTTCTTCATTTCCATGAGATTGGCTATGCAAATGAAAAATAATATTAAAAAAAACCCCAAGCCCATATAATAAGAAATAACCACATTTGATTTGAAGATGTAAACATCATTTAGGAATCCTTTTTTTAAAAAAAAAAAAAAAAAAAAAAAGCAAGAAGCAAAGATCACAGCCCTCTTCTGACAATAAAAAAATGTAACATTAATTGCAGAGTGAGCAAAATGCTTATGGAAAATTACCCTTTTTAAAATTTACAGATTTATGTTTAATTAGTTAAGTATTTGTATCTGCTCTGAGAAAAAGTCACCATCTTTTTCAGTTGTGTTAGCAATCACCTGGATTATAACCATCCTCTTTCACATTGAGAAAGCAGATTGCTTTAATAATAAAAAAAATATAGTCTTATAGGCTTATACTTTTATGTCTATCATTTTAAAATAGATTAAAAAAAGAGTGAATTTAAAATTGCTACACACCTGATACAGAACGACAGCAATGCCATTAATGGTCCAATTTCCAGCATAATTCAACAGATGCCAAAAAGCTGTTTTTGCACCACATCGAAAAACAGGTCAAAACCTAAAAATAAAACTCCACAATTGACTGATATTACTGTCTTTTCTTGCTTTGGGAATTTCAGGTATTTTGAAATGGTCTGCATCACCAGAGGCAACTCAATGAGAAGTGTCAGTCACATCAAGAAAAAAGAAAACTTTCCAAATGGTTCAGGTTTTTTTTCCTCCGCTCTAGAGAAGAGTTGTAATTTTCAGAACCAGTGTATATTCACACTTGTTTGCATATGGAAGTTCAAGTAGCAGTGATCCTCAAATAAAATGTATTTGTTTTAAGTGGCAAAATACCAACCTGGAACTAAGCTATGATCAGTCCACAAGTGTTCCTTCTGTGATGAATTCTTGTAGCATCTTTTTATCATTTGAAATGTCTCCCACCCGCCTTTCTAAAAATGATTTGCTATTTGCTGTTCTAGAGAGGGGATCTGAAACGAAGGTTAACCAAACTGTTTGGCTGTGGAAACTTTACTGTGGAAATGAATATAAAACTCTCTCATAAGTTTACTTGTCAGCAGCAAAAAGACTCTTCAAGTGTCTTAACCACTGTACAGCTCGATAGTTTTAATACTTCAACTTTTTTTTTTTCCATTTTTCATTGTTGAAGAAATAATTTCACAATCTCAAATCAAAGTCAACACTGCAGTGAGGAGAGCTTTTCTACTTTATTACAAAGAGAAGAAGCCTTTATGTGGTCAGAAAATACAAGATTGATCTTTTTTTTTTTTTCTCTTCCTATGAAACGCTGCTGTTCAAACAGCCAGAGTGAATTGTCTCAGTTCACTTCTTTAAGTCCCATCACATTCACTTGGGTATGGATGTCCTTGGCTGCTGAAAATCTGGCCCTTTAGTGCACAGGGCGACAAAGTAGTCCCCTGACCAGCAGTTCCAGAATGTCCCGTTTTCATATATTGCATCCATGCACACCTCCTAAAAATGAGGTACAGCAGGGCAAACATTTTCCAAAATAGATGTCATATATATAATATATACACATTCGTACATACATACCTTTATTCATGTGATGTCCAAAAATTTAAAAAAAATGTACACATTTATTACAAAATCGTAACAAAGACTGGACAGTGTTTTGCTCATTCTGGAAAGATGAAGCTCAGTAATACACAACTCTGGAAACTAACCAGAGACTGTGGCAATATCTTTCTTCTAAACAGTCAGATATTCTTGCATTAAGCTTGGCGAAAACTGCCTTTCAAAAACAGAAGGGGAAGTAAAATGAAGGAAGCAAACCTTGCTCATCTTTCCAAATGAAATACGAGAAGGATCTTCACATAAAAATGCACAAACATTTTTTATTACCAATAGTGCTACAATGAACAATGCAAATTTTGTTGTCTAATTTTTTGTCTTTTTTCTTTTTTTGTTTTTACATTTTGGAAAACTAAGTGGTAAACTTTTGTCAGTGTACTCGCTTGTCTTTACAGACCCAAGCTTGTCTGCTGGCAAAAAATAAAACAAAACAAAAATTCAGACCCTGCTCAAACTAAAGAAAAACAATTACAAATTTAGTTGTTGGGCAGCACATAATTAGTAAGGCAGGACCTCAAATGGTGACCCTTCGCATGAGCCAATTGCCAGATCCTCAAGGAATTAAAACCAGGATGCCTGAGCCACATCAGTTCTGCAGTTATGTTGAGTATTGTGCTGAGACAGCCATACCCCAAGAAAAGGGAAGTCTTTAGAAGGCTTGCTGAGCAGGGTTGTAGTTGAAGGTTGATGGCAGATGAGGCCTTTCTTCTAATTTGTCATATTCCAGATGGAACTCCTATAATTAAAATAGGGGGAAAAAAAAAAGACAAAACCAAATAAAACAACACATCGTTTACCTGTTGAGAACTGTTTGTTCTACCAGCCACACTTGAAAAGCACAAATATGGAAGAGATCAAGTCCCAACTTATCTCAAGGCAGAAACATGTGATTTTGCTCTCTGGGATTCTATATTTTAATTAGGAAAAAGTCAATATCCTAAGCCATTACACCTGCAATATGTAGTCTCTCATTTTTTTATAGTGTTACATTACTCTCAGAACCATAGTTATGATCTCAAACCACTATATATATGTGTGTGTATATATATACACACACACACACAAAACACAAATATACAGCCATGGCATGACTTGAATTATGAATAAAAGCTTCTGTCTTTACACAGTTCAGATGTACAGAGACTTATTTTGGATGACCTGAAGTTCTGGGATATTTTGTGCCATGCTACCAAACCCAATAGTAAGTTAAACTAGCTAGGCTTCTCCTCCTTAGTACAAAACTGGGGAACGTTATCTAAAATGCTAGAAACATTACTGAAACCTATTTAAGCCAGAATGTAGTAACATGTCCCCCACATTTCATACTCAGATTTAAGACTCAGACCCACCCAACCCTCCTGTACATCCCGGGTTCCTTGTTTCTTACCACACTTTCCCAGCGTCTACCATGAGAAATTCTGCTGGTGTTTTATAAACAACCACATAGAATAAAAATCTTTGCCCATGTGCTCAGATGCCACATGGTTCATAAATAAGCAGCTCTACTATCTCACTGGCACAATCACCTGACTTTTGTTTGAGGGCATCTGATTTACATATTTGTAAAACATTTCACTGATCCAGTAGGAATTCTTATTCTGACTACAGGAACTACTACTACTAAGACTGTAACCACCCCTGATGTCTAAATGTACCCTGATTATTACAGTGGAAAGCACAGTTTCCCTCCCTGTGACCCTAAGGCACTGGAACGGCCTACCCAGAGAGGTGGGGGATTCACCATCCCTGGAGGTTTTTAAAAAGAGATTGGACGTGGCCCTTAGTGCCATGATATAGTAATTGGAGTTGGATCAGGGGTTGGACTTGATGATCTTGGAGGTCTTTTCCAACCCAATCTATTCTATGATTCTAATTTGTGCACATAATCATAATTAGTGCAGTTTGACATTTGGTGCTTGTTACTTCATTCATGCAAAAATGTACAAGGACTTACTTAAGCCTTATATTTTTCAGATCCTCTCAGCAGTTTACCTGTGTCTTATCCCCATTTTATCTTCATTCAAGAAGCAGAGTAAGCAGAGAAGTTTCAGAATTGTTCTTTAAAAACAACAACTACTTCAGACAAATGCAGTAATTTATTCTGTCTAACTCAGTGGAGAACCTCAGAAGAACATCATCTGTATCTGCAGAGCAAACTTACCCCACTCTTTTTACATATGGATGAAAACGCCAAGAGTAGTGAATAGATTATTTTAGAAGACTCCCTAAAGTGATTAAATAGTGCAGTATTTCAGTTTTTACAGGCAGGCAAACTAAATTAAAGACCAAGTCAATGCCACTCCAAAAATAAAATCTAGGAAATCCAACTCTAAGAACACTCTTTAAGGCAAAACAAGGTCCATCTAGCACAGAAAGAACATTCAGCATGGTAGGGGAAAATGCTAAGCAGTCAGTAAGCCCATATTCACCAGAGAACACTGTCCTTAAACCTGGAAAATCCTAGCAAAACCTAGGTGAGGTTACAGCCATCTGCATTCAAGTGCTGCACATCTGCTTCATTTCTGGCTCTCCGCTCTCTACTCCAATCAAGGGAACTTTCAGTTGTTTGGGTTTTTTGGTGGAGGTTTGTTTATTTATTCTGGTGGTGGGTTGGTTTGGACTATTTTAGGTTATATATACACAAGTAAATTACTTTTGGCATTCCTAATTAACACTGCATGCCAGCCAGTGTATGTTCTCTTTTTGTGTAGATACATACACACATGCTGATACTGAAGAGATGCCTGATCCCTCCTTTTGTGAGAAGCAAGATCAAGGTGTACAAATCTCTATGGGTATTTTGGTGTCAAAGGCTGGTTTAGGTTGGGTAGATCTTCAGTAATTCTTAAGTAATTTTATAATAGAAAAAATACCACTCAAACTTCTCTCCCATTCATGGTTTCCAAAATTTTCAGTTTGCATGTAATCATGGAAGGGTCTGCAGATCATTATCAATCTATGGTCAGCTGTTGGGGAATTGCTTCTTTAACAAAATTGTAAACAAAGAGAAGGGTTAAAAATAAAAGCTTCAATCAGCTAACTGAACTTCTGTATGCTCTGACATGCCTTCAAAATCACCCACGGAAAATGGCTACTTAAGCTGGTAAGACAGTTATCAGCAGCCTAAAAAGGGGCTTTCTAAACTTAGGGTGTTGCATACCTCTACTGGCAGTAATAGCTGCGAGCAAGGTAGTATATCTGAAAGAAGAGCTTAGGAGCTTGAGCGGTCCTTTGTGTGCTGTGAGTTGGAAGCCTCTCCTATTTAGAAGAAGGAATATGATTCCCTACCAGATTTTCTTTAGAAGTACATGAGTTGATACTTCAAACTGCCATCAGTTTTCAAAATAAACAGGCTTAAAACAGCCTCTTTGATTTGCATTGCAGTGTCAGCAATGCTCAAGTTCAATGTCCAGTAGTATGTAAGAACACCTATCGTTATATATGACAACACCAAAAAAGAACTCATTGACCAAATAGTTTTGAAAACTAGAAAGCAATTATTTATTACATATAGAAAAATACTTGTATTACAGGTATACTTTAAGTTTTTGCTTTTGATTCCAGGGGCCACTGTGGTTTAGGATGTGAACAGGAGCACTGATATTTTTTAATATAAACAGATACAAATAAAATGTAAAAAAATGTCATTTATCCATTGACAAACATCTTAAATTGTTTTATTTTCCACATCTAAGTAATTATTCAAAATTAAATACTTTTTATTAACCAAGAGTAACAAATAATAAATGTGTGTGGAAACTTAGAGCACACGTGCAAGCAACACTAAATAAATTGCAAAGAAATCAATCACTCCTCATGTCATCCTGAAAACTTTTTTTGATGGTAAATTTATATCAGCCTGCAGGTCTACAAACAATAATAGGCAAGAATACTAAAGACAGAAGAGAATTGCTTAAGGTGGTCCATAGCATTAATAGAATAAAACAAAACAAAGATAGCCAAATAGGAAGTGTCTTGAGGATAAAATACTGTGGACTGTGTAAGTCCATCAAAGGAGATATTAGAAATTCCATGGCTAGCTCAAAAATTCCAAACAGGACTGAAGAAGAAGCCTTTATACTGGCTTAAAGATGGATGCAAAGACCTACATTTAAATTAGGGGTTGAATTAAAATGCTATGGCACATCTCTGTTAGAAGAACAAATTTAACTTTCCAGCAAAGTATTTCAATTAATATTGATCTTAAAAGGATAGGAAGTAATTTAATGTAGGCAGCAACCCTTACAAGCAAACAAATACTGGGAAATTTACCCTTCTCTCCCATAAAGAACTCCACATTTTGTAACTACAAGATTAAAGTAAAAGGGTTTTATAATCTTGTTCCTTAAACAGCGTTAATTCTCCTTACTTTTCAAAGGAGAAATTCCAGACAGTTTACTTCAGACTATTTAAATCAGGATTTCAGTAAATGTGCAATTGTAGAAGGTAGTTTTGGTCTCATATCCACTTCCCTTCCTCTCTCATGTCTCCTCAACAGCAGCAAACTATACAGCCAAATCCTCAGCGAAAAATCAAAGTGTCTTTAACCATACTGTACTTTCCACATGCTCTAGGATAAAAAACCACATATATAGACATATCTGCAATCAGCATTTTCCTGCATTTTGTTTTGCATTTGAGGTCAATTTGAAGTTTATTGTCATTCATATTTTTTCACTATTTACTACCATGTATCAACACAGAATTAATTTGATTTTATTTTCTAAGAGTTTAGGAATTGTCTCATTACTCAGCTGCATTCCTTTCTTCAGTCTGTTATCTATAAGGAATATAAAAATAGAGCCTACAGCTTAACAAAAAAAGACAGATATATTATTTAATGTTTTCTGGAAAGAAGTTATTCAGTTTACTTGGCTTTGTTAAAACCAACCTAGTACACTATCAAAAAATCTGTTAAACCACATCTGGTTCATGTGTTTAAAAACTTAGTCTTAAGATTTAGTAATATTCTCTAAAGTAAACAGTTATGTTTCACTCTATCTATTGCAATGCAGTATAATTTAAAGTAGGTACAATAAATATATAAGCTCATACTGCATAAAGCATCATGTCTGCAAAGCACAACATATTAAAATATGCACTGCCCTATATTTGAGCATATACGCTAGAACAATAGACAAATTTATAAAACACTTTGAAAAACAATTTAATTTACACATATAAGAGACTAATTTACCAGAAACAATTCTCATCTGACTGCTTCAAAAAAGGAGTAATGAAACTGTTAACCAGCAATTATTTTTGTGGTCTTCTAAGAAACTGATATTCCCAGTGTTCACTAATAATGTAGCAGTTCTAGAAAGAGACTGCAATTTATCAGAATTCTTTTTTTTTTCTAGCTTCTTATATTTTTAATTTCCTGAAACATTAATTAATACTTCTGCATTTGTTAGAAAAAATTTGCCATACTTTTCTTTGCATTCAAAGCAACATGGAGTTATCAAATACTGCCATTCTTGTTATGGCAAGTCTATGTCAGCCTTCCTCCAAGGAAACGTCAACTCCAGAAATTAATATCAGAATTAATACAATGCCAAGATCACACCTGACATACATCTAAGTTCTTATTTATTTATCATATCTGGAAATGTCATAGAATTATTTCTAGCAAGTGATTCCTTTTCCATGTAACAAAATAGCAGTTTTCCCCCAAATCCTTCTCTAGCTTCCTGTGATGAATACTCCACTTGCCTGCTATATTTTCCATCAAACTAAAGTTAAATAAAAAAGTCAAAATAATATTCCAGTTCCAATATCACATCAAGAAATACATAAGCCTAAAAGAAAAGGTATTATCTCTTCCTATGGACACTAGGGGAAAAAGAAAAAAAATTGTGTTCCTTGCTAGCTTACTACTGCAGATGCAAAACTTCAGGAAATACTATCCCTCTCCTTACTAGCTACCAATTGGTTCTTAATGTCAGAGGAATTATTGTCAGTATGCCAAATAAAGAGCAGAGAACCTGTGTAGATCTTGAGCAAAATCATTCAGAGAACAGTAGTGATTTGAATCTCTCTTTCACTGCAGTATCTCCA